AATTTGTCAAAAGTCGTAAAAATATTGTCTTACCCTTTAAAGAAAGTCAGGAGGCATAACTGTCTATGGACAATGATGGTTAAAAAGACACACTACATATAAATAACTTTCTTTTGCAGATCATTTAAAAACTAAAAATTGAAATTAGAAGGACTTGTTGAGAAAGGTGAAAGCATTGAGGAGGGTGTTGAGGGTAAAAGCATTGAGGAGGGTGTTGAGAGGTGATAATTTTCAAATTTGTGAAAAAGTGCTAAGTCACAGATATGACTCCTCAGCTGGCCACCAACAGGCTAGAGACAGCAGTGGCGCGGACTGCTACAGCCCTCCTGTCCCTGGGCACTGCTCTCAAGTATTGCGTTTAAAATTTGTCATTGACAACATGACATTTCTCGCTATTATTCTTGTGAGTTGTTCAGATAATTTGTCTTTCAAAAGTATTTCATCCGATTTGTTTTTTTTTTAAAGATTTTATTTATTTATTAGAGAGAGAGAATGAGAGAGAGAGAGAGAGCATGAGAGCGGGGAGGGTCAGAGGGAGAAGCAGACTCCCCACCGAGCAGGGAGCCCGATGTGGGACTTGATCCCGAACTCCAGGATCATGACCTGAGCTAAAGGCAGTCGCTTAACCAACTGAGCCACCCAGATGCCCCCCGATTTGTGTTTTTAAGAAATAAGTTGATAACTTGACCATATTTCTAATAAATTTCAGTTTGTGGATTAAATACACTAGAGTGTCATTCTAACACCGTTGCACAATGAATAGAATCTGGCAACATGTGCCGCTTTGGGACACATCCAAAGAGTTTCTTTTTTTTTTTTTTTAAGACTTTATTTATTTATTTGACAGAGAGGGACACAGCGAGGGAGGGAACACAAGCAGGGGGAGTGGGAGAGGGAGAAGCAGGCTTCCCGCGGAGCAGGGAGCCCCATGCGGGGCTCGATCCCAGCACCCTGGGATCATGATGACCTGAGCCGAAGGCAGATGCTTAACGACTGAGCCACTCAGGAGCCCCATCCAAAGAGTTTCTACAGAATGATAAATCCCTGGTGGAAGGCTTTCTCACCCATAAGGAAGCCCCGTGGCATAGATATCAACACCACTTTATAGAAGGCTCCAGGTTTTCATTTAAAGATGTGGGAAACTTCTGGTATAGCAATTAAAGGTGAATAGATTTAACAGGTGGAGAGAATTAGGCTGTGCAACAGCTTGAGCTTCCAGTGCTTTAAACTGTTACTGGTTTCAAAGTTTTCCTTCATGCACCATTCAAACCATAGTATTTAAAAATAACTTTTGAGAAATAACCAGATACAGTTCCAGGTATAAAAAATGGCATAATTTCAGAAATGGCATGAGGTCCAAACGTCTGAGCCACATTTTTCTATGTGGCCCATGTCTGCATTGTTACTCCCTTGCCCAAATCACATTTAGGGTTTAAGTTTGTTTAACTGTGACTACAGTGACCTATGCGTGGGATGTTAAGAGAACTTAAGATAGGACTGTTAAGGGCTCTGAGGTATTTAAAGGCACTTCCTAAGAATACAGTCAAATACTACTTATTGTTTTTCTACTGCTTTTTTTTTTTTAAGATTTTATTTATTTATTTGACAGAGAGAGACACAGCCAGAGAGGGAACACAAGCAGGGAGAGTGGGAGAGGGAGAAGCAGGCTTCCCAAGGAGCAGGGAGCCCGATGCGGGGCTTGATCCCAGGACCCTGGGATCGTGACCTGAGCCAAAGGCAGACGCTTAACGACTGAGCCACCCAGGCACCCCTTTACTGCTTTTTAATATGTTCTTTCAGAAACTGTGTTCTTTGAAAAAAAAAAAAAGTGTTCTTTGATTAAAAAAAACCCCAAAACTTCAAACTTTTTCAACTTTTGAAACTTTTTAGTATCCCAGTCTATAATTCATGCTTGTAACTATATGTCCATAATATTTTATTTTTTTAAAGATACATTTTTTTGAGAGAGAGTTTGCGCACAGGAGTGGGGCGGGAAGAGGGAGAGAATCTGGAGTTGACTCCCTGCTGAGCAGGGAGGGAGCCCTACCACATGGGGCTCAATCCTGCCATCCATGAGATCATGACCTGAGCTGAAACCAAGAGTCCGACGCTTAATCTACTGAGCCACCCAGGCGCCCCTATATGCCCATAATATTGTAATTGGCAAATGTAGATAAAATATTTGTATCTTTTTTTGCCAATTAAAAGAGTGCTTTTTGTTGTTCCTCAAAGAAGAATTGACTAGATAGGCCTCACAGGGATTAAATCCGATGAAAGGCTAAATCTGCATCCAATGGGGAAAGAATGGGAAGTGTGCAATTGGGACTTTAATTTTTTTTACAGTTTTATTGAAATATAATTGACATACAGGGGACTACACATACTTAAAAGTGTGCAACTTGGTAAGTATGACATAGGTATACACCTATGAAACCATCACCACAGTCTAGATAATGGACATATCCATCATCCCCCCAAATTCTCTTGTGGCCCCATATACCATAATCTCTCCCTTGCAATCACTGACTGGCCTATAGCCAGGCCCTCATGTTGGGAATAAAAACACTGTGGATGACATGGGCAGCAGGAAGAAGGGTCCAGCCTGGCAAAGATATTTAGTTTTTGGCTTAATGGATGTACTACACTGCATGTAGGATGTGCTTAAAAATAAAGTTATTGACTCACAGTATTTTCAAGCCAAAAACGATCTTGATCTTTTGATCTTCATAACTTTATCGAATATTTAATTATTTGAAGTGTGGCAAAAACTTGCTTCCTTCTTTCTTGCCCTTTTTCTAAACCATTCCTCACAACCAGAGTGATTTTTAAAATTAAATTTATCCAGGGCTGTAATCACTTATTTTTTAATGAAAATTAATAGTATCAAGTAGACATGCTTTTAGAGTAGTTATATGTAAATGGAGGGGCATGTTGTCTGGGCCATTTTGGAGTAAACATTTATAAGACCATAGAGCACATTTTATGGTCAAAGAACACAATTTTTCAGTGCTAAAAATTAATTGGTCCTATATTAGTACTTCTCATTATTATGTGTTAACCATCTGAGCTAAAAACTTATACTAATTCTTATTTCTTGGGTGGTAGTTTCTAAACTTACATGGAATGGTCCATTGAACCCTTCAATGGGAGCAAACAATCCTACTGATCACCAAACTCATTTACCATTTTGTGGGGGGAGGGGGAAACTCACCTGATACCTTTTAAAAAAATACATGTTTTATAAAGTAGAATAGGAGTTATTGTTTACTGGGTAGAGTTTCAGTTTGGGATGATGAAAAAGTCCTGGTGATGGTTGCATAGCAATGTGAATATACTTAATGCCACTGAACTATACACTGAAAAATAGTTAAAATAGTACATTTTATGTTATGTATATTTTATCCAAATAAAAAGATAAAAATTCATGCCTTCATAGCAAATTTCACTAGAAAATGCACAGCTAAGCACTTAAAAAAATATACTTGGAACTAAAAGATCAAGAAACTACACACTTATGGGGCACCTGGCTGGCTCAGCTGGTAGAGCATTCCACTCTTGACCTCAGGGTTGTAAGTTCGAGCCCCATGTTGGGGGTAGGGGTTACTTAAAAATAAAATTTAAAAAAACCTACATGCTTATAAGAGTACATATTATTTTTCTTAGTAGCACATTGTACAAAAATGGTTAAGAATGACTGATTTGGATTACCACTTGAAATAAAAAAAACCCCACACCACTAAATGTACTTATCAAATAGAACCGATTAGGCAACTATAAATGACACTAACATGACATTCAAAACACTTAGAAACAACTTATATTATTTAACAATTTTCAGTGAAAGTAGTATTTTTCTGTATACAGTCTTATGTGACTGATGCTTATACATTTTTAACAAGGAAACTGAAGATCAGAACATACAATTTGACCAACTTAGTGCTGAACAGGCTCAACCTCAGGTTCTTTTTGTTTTTACTTGAAATCCAGTTCTTTGGCCCATATGTTGCCCAAAATATAGACACAGATGTCATACTGAAAACATCACTGTTCCCAAATTCCTTGCTCTAATGCCTTTCAGTTGCTATTACCATAAAATCTGATCTTGTTTCTATATTTTCCTAGGCCCTGGGGGAATGGGCCCTCACTCACCTCTCCAGACTCATTCCAGGCTCCCCTTTATACCTTGGATTTCTCAGCACCAGACTCCACTCAGTTCTAATAGCCAAGGTCCTTATTACCACAGATCCTTTGCACAGCCATTCCCTCTGCCTTAAACAATTCCCCAGAGCATTTCTCACATTACTGACTCCTCATCCTTCAGATGAGCCTTTCCTGACCACTGTTTTTTTTTTAACCTATCCTATTATCTGCTCTCCCAGAATTCTGTTCAGAACCTTTATACACGTTTTCCTCCAAAATGTGTGAAGTATTTATTGTCCCTTTTCCCAAATAGTCAGTTCCATGAAAGCAGACCTTTTTCTGTTTCCCTCAAGGCTGTGTCCCCTCAGCATTTGCGTTTCAATGAATGTTTGTTGACTGACTGAATGAATACAATGGAAGAAATGGAGATAGGAAATAGAGCTGTAAACTTGGTTAGTAAAAGGGATTAATGCCTATTCCGCACAATTGAGAAAGTGGATTTCAAACCACAGGGACTTTTAGGGTCCTATTTTTTCCTTCATCTGACCATGGAATAATATCTAACATTCATTGAGTACTTTCAGGAACTACGCTAAGCACTTCACATGTATTATACAATTTAACCTCAGAACAACCCTGTCGCTGTAATCAACCTTTATTACTCTCATTTCTCAGAGGCAATTTGCCAACAGCCACTAATGGTGGAGCCATAGCCAGGTTTAAGTAGGCCATATCCCATTAATCCAATGTAATCGACACCCCTTCAGTCAACAATAGGAGTTTAATTAACGTACTTTTCAGAGAACCCCCCTGAATTCCCCATTTTACCTGACCTTCAGTATCTTGGGACCGAAACCTACTAGCGGGTTGCTAACCCCTCAGGGGGTTTCCTGGGGGATTCTGAGCGCCCTTGGTGTAGGAGCTGCCGCTCAAACTGACGCGTGGTGCTCTGGCTTGGCAATGTCAGGACTGTCAGGTCTGCTGGGGAGGAAGGAGGAAGCAGGTCAGTTGGCCCAAGACGATCCTTGACCCTCGGGGTGGTGAAAGGGGAAGGGAAGGTGTTTCTCACCCACGCCCGCCTCAGGCTCGGGATCTCCCGACCGCAGGGGGAACCAGCGCGCGTTTCCCCAACTACTGCTCGCGTCACGGGCCAGGGCGGCTCAGCCCCGCCCACCTTCTCCGCCCAGCTCAGAGTCAGGCGCTAGGACCCCACAATCCTCAACCCGGCATCGCCCCGCCCCCTGGGGCTGGGCCTGGCTCGCGATTGGCGCTTGCGGGCAGCGATCCCCGCCCCCGCCCCCTCCGTCACTGCCAAGATGGCACCAGTCGCAGTGGCGGCGGCCGCAGCGGCTGGAGCCAGAGAAGGAGGCGGAGGCAGCGGCTGCTGCGAGGGGAGGGGGAGTCCCGTCTGATTGAGACGGCAAGCCTGGGCGGGCGGGGGTGCCGCGCAGGGCGGAGCGCCGGGCTGGGGATGAGCTAAGCGGGTTCAGAGCGCCGCGGCATTCAGCCCCTCGTGTCCCGCCGCCGTCGGGAGGGGACTGGGCACCACTCTCCAAGCTCGACCCACTGCTCGCGCTGGAGCCAGCGGTGAGGTGAGTGCGGGGGTGGCGGCGCGGACAGCGGTGGCATGTGGAGCTGTCACGGCCCGGAGCGGTGACAGCCGTGGTCGCGGGAGCGGGGTCGGCAGGGCTCGGAGAGGTGGCGCGGATGGCCGCGACCTCCGCCCGGGGGCTTCTCAGAGCCGGGCGGTCCTCCGCGGGCTCGGTCCGCTCTGGGCTGGCGCGGCGGTGCTGAGAGTAGCGCCCGCACCTCTGTGTCGGACGCGTGGGGGGCTCTGGCGTTTTCTTTCCAGATTTTCTATTCCGGGCTGGTTTGGGGCTCTTGTTGTTGGGAGGTGGGGGTGGGGTGGGGGCGGGGACGGTGAGAGGGGAGGTCCTGAGCTGGGATTTTGACAAGCCCGTTACGTAAGACGGAGGTGGCCTTCCGGAATCCCACCTGCTCGATATTTTAAACAGGCAGCAGCGGGAGCCTTGCGGGCCCCCAGAGGCCCGATTTTCCTCCCGGGGGTCTGCTTAGCCAACCCCGGCCAGCATGGGTCGGGTTAGCGTTCAAGTTGGTCAGTTGCATTTTGTGTGTGTGTGTGTGTGTGTGTGTCTATTTTTGCGGGCGGGGGGGGGGGAACGTTCCTGGTCGCCACCATTCCCTTTGAAGTTTATCGCTTTGAGGGAGGGAGGAGAAAAAAGAAAAAAGCTTGTGACCCAAAACTGGGTCGCAGCGACAGCTTTTCATTATCGTGCTTTTAAATGACAGATGTGCTAAAAGATTTTTGTTATTGTTCCAGAGTGCTTTTAATTCAAACGTATGGTTACGCCTGGAGGCTTAGAGAAGGGTTTTTGTCTTACAGGACAGTTATTTGTTGTTTGCAACAGCAGGACAGGCATCAGTCAACAGGCATGTATTTATTTGAGGAGAAAACGCGTGTCAGCCAGCTAGAGACTCGTGAGGACAGAAATTGTATTACTCCGTGAATATGTTATTCTTTCAAATGCATTGTACGTTAATTAAAATAATAGCCCAAGTGTGTAAGAAGCAATTTTACAAGATTGCAAGCTGTTGTTTGGTGTATATAGTCTCTGTTTTCTGCTTGCCCTAATCTACCTCTTCTCTCCTCTTGGGGGAAGGAGGCGGAGACACCTGTAAACAGCGTAGCCCAGGTTACACTAATCTATTGTAGTACATTTGAGATTATTGTAAAAAAGTCTCTGGGGGACCTAAGATTAGGTAATAAGTAAGGACTGTTGGGCAAGTTACTCAGTTTATGTTTAGAGTAGATAGTTCTGGGAATCCAGCTTTTGAAAACTTAAGTACGCAGAATTTCTGAGCTATTTGAACCCTGTTTGAATTTATAATGAAACAAAAGGTTGTATTTGGCTTCTTTTATTGGAACTTTGTTTTATTTTGGCCAGAATTAAACATTTTGGGCAACTTTTACTTCATTTTCACAATTTCCCTTTGAACTGCAGCTCTCAGTAGGAGTCCAAACTAGTATATATCATGCCATCATCATCATTATATATATGTTATATAATTTTCTTTTTCTAAATGATTAAATATAGACTTCACTGTGGAATTTTTAAAGAATGTACTTTTTAGGAAAATTAATTGATCTTGACACCGGCCCAATAGAAATAAGAGTAAATTTTGGTCTGAGTTTTAAATTTATGTACACAAATTTACACTTTTGAAAATCGGTGAAGCGATGTAAATTTTTTGTTTGTGCAAGAGAGCCAGAAGCTGATGCTGATTTGTTCTGAACTTTTCCACATGAATTACCACTGGCTTAAATAGTTATTGATTCTTAAGCTCCTGGAGCTGTTGGCCTATTTATGGCAGCTTGAATAATATTTGGAATAATTGGAAAGCTATAAGAAGGAAAGAGTATATGACATTTATTAATTCATTCAAAAATAATAAAAATCATGGCAGAATTGTAAAAAAAAAAAACCCTTATTTTTTCATTTGAGTGATATTATTTACACTACCTTTTTGTTTCCAGAATTCTTCTAAACAGTCTACCTACTATGGAAACCTAGATTTAAGCACTGATTCAGATAGAGATGTATATTACAAATCTTGTATCATTCCTATTTAAATTGATGGCTCATTATTCCAAGCAGAAAACAAAAGTGGCTCTAGCAGGAAAATTGACTTGTTATTCTTGTCCTCTCTGATGTCAGAAACTTATCTTGGGGCTTTCCTCTTTCTTACCAGATGTGGAAGATGAGACTGACTGAAGGAAAGTTGATAAAAAAAACTTCCTCTTTGTTTAATACCCCAGATTAATGATCAATCCTCAGTAGAATTTGTGAGTTGGGGAGAAGTGAAGTGCTCCACGCTTTATTACTGTATATACTAGTTATCACTTTGAATTCTAACACAGCAGTGTAGAACTTTATACATAAAAAGGATTAATTTATATAGTTTGTTACTATAGTAGGGAAAAATTTATAATAGTCAAAATGCCATATAATAGAGGAATAGTGAAACGAATGATAATCCAGTGGTAGATGCAGTTTTTAAGGGTCACATTTTCAGAAATATTTACTGACATGAGAAAGTACAAAATAGTGTTGAGAGAAAAGTCAGAATATAAAGAATATACTTTGTCATTATTTATAACATATCACATATACATGGCAAAATGGCAGGAAATAAATTTTTTTAAAGGTTTTATTTATTTATTTGAGAGAGAGTGAGAGAAGCATAGCTGGGGGAGAGGCAGATGGAGAGGAAGAGGCAGACTCCCTGCTGAGCAGGGAGCCCAACACGGGGCTCCATCCCAGGACCCTGAGATCATGACCTGAGCTGAAGACAGACGTTCAACCGACTGAGCCACCCAGGCACCTCGGAAATAAGTATTTTAATAAGATATTAAAAGGTGTCTGTATGATGGGATTAGAGGTCATTTTTAGTATTTATACTTTGTTCTATCTTCTGAATAGTATTACTGTAATAATGACAAGAGTGACATTAAAATGTTTTCAAGGGTCATAGGAGAAAATCCTGAAAATCCCACAAAATCACTGCTCCAATAGGGAGACTATTTTATGATTATTAGAAAACTAACTCAAAGTATGGTGCTTATGCAGTACGCAGTAATGGAAGGAGCTAGTAATTTAGGTGAAGGCACTCTTCTGGTTACCAGCACCAACCTGGTAGTGGTTTTACATATGTAGATGATTCTATTAATGCACATTGTTGGGGCGCCTGGGTGGCTCAGTTGGTTAAGCGACTGCCTTGGGCTCAGGTCGTGATCTCAGGGTCCTGGGATCGAGCCCCACATCGGGCTCCCTGCTTGGCGGGAAGCCTGCTTCTCTCTCTCCAACTCCCCCTGCTTGTGTTCCCTCTCTCGCTGTCTTCTCTGTCAGATAAATAAATAAATAAATAATCTAATGCACAGTTACTCTCAACCTCTTTTCTATTTGGATCTCACACCCAAACTGTTTTATATTGATAGTGCCACCTATTGATGGACTGCTTGACTCAGTCTTTTCCTCTTTACCCCATCAGTCAGTAGATAGCAGTTTTTGAATGTTTGTGAGGCGCCAGGTATTTTGCTAGTCACTGAAGATACAGAGGTAAATGAAACATGATTTCTGTCCTCAAACTGTGGTTGAGAACCCTTTCTTTTTTTCTTGGGCCATCAGTGCATACTGTGTACTTTGCTTTTCCTGTTTCACTGCTCGTGGCCTGGCACCTCAGCCAGTATCTTTTTTGCTGGTGCTTATATCCTCGTTTAACTTTCTTTATGGGAAAATATGTTTTGAGGTCCAAACAACCAATTTACAAATAAAGTTTTAGAACATTACTTGATTGTATGTTGGAGAATCTTATATTCGGAAGAGCTGCTGTTATTGTTATTTTTAAAGTGTGTGATAATTTCTTGGTGCCTCCTTGTTTCCTTCTTTTAAAAAGCACAAACAAGTAGAAACCAATAGGGAGAGAGACAAACTATCAAGAAAAAAGGTGGAGAGATATCAAGGGAGTTTTTCTGCTGGTGCTGTACTTTATTTTCACCAAGAATAGTGAGTCATCAAAATGTATAGTAAGAGATACTGTTTCTACTATACTTTTAGTATCTCTTTGGACCCATATAAAAATGCATTTTCCATGTACATACACACATAAACTCACAGGTTAGCTATTTTCATTTCCAAATAAAAGCTGAAATAGGGAGATTGGAAATTTCTTAAATTTATTTTTATTTTTACTTTTATATTTTATAGATGATACAATTTTGAAAAGCTTTAAAAATACAGAAAATTACAAAAAAGTAGTAAGCATACGTATACTCATACAAATGTTAACATTTTTTCACTTTTGTTTCAGATACATTTTTAATTTAAAAAACTATGTATATCATGGTTATCACACTGAATGCTAAAAGAGCAGGTAGAACTTTATACTGTACTTGAACATTGCTGATCAAGTTAAAGTCCTTTTTGTTCTCCTCAGTTTCATCTTCCCTCCCAGGGGCAATTGTTATGATAAATGTGATGTGTATCCTTCCATTTTACCTTTTAATAAACTTTACATATGAACAGTACATGGCCTTGCTTTCCATGCTTTTGGAGAGCTGTGGGCTTTGGAGCCATATTCCCTTGGTTTAAATCTGGACTCTGCTACTTAATAGTTTTGTGACCTTAGGCAAATTTTTAAATCTTTCCATGCTTCTATGTCCTTATCTATCAGATAGGGATAATAGATCTGCCTACCTTATAAGGTTGTTGTAGAAAGCAAGTGAGTCTATATAAGGTGCTTAAAACTGTTCCTGCCCGCCCCCCCTTGTTTTTTAATGTGCTGGCTAATTTAAGCAGCTGTTAATATGATTTTATCATGGTATACATATTTTGAAACTTTCTAAATTTTTGCGCTCCTCCCCCATCTTTGTTGGCCCTTGTAGGACTGGCTCATTTGTGTTGACTGGTGTGTAATGTTCCATTAAATAGATATACTGCAATTTAGCATTTACTCTATTAATGAATGTTGATTGTTTTTATTTTTTATGTATTATAACAGTGCCTTGTGAACA